AAGATTCTGGTCCCACAGATTCTCCAGTGTTACAGCAAACTGGCTGAGGACAGCAGTTAACTGTCCTCTAATCAACAATGTTTTCTAATAGATTCTATCCCGATGGAGCCCACAGCTTTCAGGAAACCAAAGTAACTACTCATTGGGAAAAGTGTGGAGGCTCTGAGGCAGGGGTTTCTATTTCCAAGATTTGTCTCGTGAAAACTTCTAGCTTCCAAGCTATAGAGCTGCGATGAGGCTTCTAATATCTATCATATCCTGCAACTCCACCCCAACTGGTTGTTGCTGATTAAGTAATGTTTGCAGCCATCATGTTGTCCATTGGCTTTCTCAATGGTCTCATTCATTCAGTCATTATTCATCTACCCAACTAACATTTAAATCACTTAACTTCATGTGTCAGGCCCAACTGGTGATAAAGGGTACATCATCACCTGTTGAGTCTGAAAGAGACTCCTGGTTCTTGGGGGTCCTCATGTCTGACCTTCGTTGACACCCACTCACAGAGAACCCCAGTGACAGAGAAGGTAGCCATAGGCTGCAGTGCAGGGCTAGGTCTCTCATCCGTGGTGGCCCTGGGCTTGACTGACTGCAGGGAAGGCAGGACTAATCATCAAATTAGGAAACATGGGGAGTCCTTGGCATGTGCAAGCACAGGGTTACTTATGTGATCTCGTTCAATCTCTTTTCATTCCATAAGTAACATTTGTTATTTTACAGATGTGCAGATTGATGCAGAAGAATGTTAAGAAACTTGCACATTGCTAAGCAGCCAAAAATTTTTTCGGATACCTGGGTCCTGTTTCTGAAAGTATGATCTATAGAGCATACCTATTCGAAGTACCTCTAGAACAGAGTTCATCCCCATCTGGGGTCTGGCGGGAGTCTGGCCCCAGGAGCTTGCACTAGGGCTGAGCCATGATCCTCAGGTGTCCACAGAAGCCCATCCTCCTGCTCACCTGGCTGACCTGGCCTGGTAGGAATGGTAGCCTCCTGCCTCCCTTCCTGCTTACCTGTCACCTTCCCCGAGTAACCCAGCCTCATGGGTTGGGGCTGCCAGGTCCCTTCTGGTTGCCTCCTCCCCGAGGTCAACCCAGGCTCCTGTTCCCCAGCCCTGTGCACGGGAATCTGTTTTTAACAAATGTCATCTGGACCCAGCAGCTTGGTAGCTGTTGTCCACAATGTCCACAGGCCTCACAGTGACTGAGGCCAAGATGCAATTAGGGTTTCCGTTTGGGGGTGACTGGGGAGAGCCAAGTGAGAAACTGAATGGAGGTGGGGCTCCTCCGTGGATTCGGGCTGTGCTTAACATGCACCACCTGCTGCCTAAGGCGATTCTATTTATCACATAATTACTGCACAAGGGCCACAGTATTTTGATTGCAAATGTTTTTTACAACAGTCTCTTTATAAAAAGAGATACAGTCTATTTTCAAAGACTACATGAAGTAAGTGAAGAGACAGACAATTACATAATCAACTAGCACAAAGTGAGATCCTCTTAGTGTAGACTTGGTATTAGGAGTGGCTGATTTATTTAGGCTGCAGAGTGTGCAAAATACTTGATAGGAGGTTATTTTTGCCCCACTTTGATGGACAACTATCTCTTGGCCAATGGGAAAGGGAATCCGGGTAGATAAATATGCAAGAACAGAAAATAAGGAGGCTGGATGGCTTGGATCAGCTGGCAGACAAGGCAATTCTGACCATAGGGTACTGGAGATGTAGTGATGTCAGGAGGTGAGAGGGGACAGGGAGGACGTGTGGGGGCATCCCTATGTCAGTCACTATTTCACAGGCAGAAAATCAACCAGGAAAAACAGCCTTTCTCTGTGCTACTTGTGAGCGAGCCCACTCACACACCCACACCCACGTAAGCACACACAGTGTGGAGGACTAAACTAACCTCAGAGGTGCTGCCTAATTATCCCTCTGAGACAGAGTCAGAGCTACCAGCTCCTGCGTGGAAGGGAGGGTCAGGATCTGAAAACAAAAGTGAATTTCCCCAGCTCCTACTGGAGGCCTGAGCTGCTTGGTCTCTAGAAGGGCCAGGGGCTGCCTCTGCTGATGAGGAAGAGGAGGGAGGAGTGAGAAACGCTGGGGGACAGAAGTGAGAACAAAGAGGCGACCTGGCTGTGGGGGCAGGAGCGGGGCCTGGGGTCTGGGGAGCCTGGGAGGTTTAAATGCTTTTTAGCTTCTCTATTGTGCTGATTAAAGGCACACTGGCAGTGCAGGGGTTAAAGGGATGGGCTGCTAACCGAAAGGTCAGCCATTCAAAACTATCATCAGCTCTGTGGGAGGAAGAAGTGGCAGTCTGCTTGATAGAGATTTATAGCCTTAGAAACCCTATGAGGTCGCCATGAATCAGAATTGACTCAAGGGCAGTGGGTTTAGTTTTTTTGGTTTATTGTGTTTATTGAGTCATTGCCCTTCTTACATCACATTCTGGAAATCACAATATCCTTAAAATCCCAGTTGTTTTTTTTTTTTTTAATTGTACTTTAGGTGAAGGTTTACAGAACAAATAGTTTCTCATTAAACAGTCAGTACACGTATTGTTTTATGACATTGGTTAACAACCCCACGACATGTCAACCCTCTCCCTTCTCGACCTTTTTTTTTGGTGAAAATATACATAGCCAAAGATACACCGTTTCAAAAATTTCTACGTGCACAGTTCAGTGACATTGATTATGTTCTTCCAGTTGTGCTGCTATTCTCACTTTAGATGAAGGCTTACAGAACAAACTGACTCTGAGTAGCTAAGGTTAGAGAGAGGAATTGCCACAGAAGTGGCTGGCAACGAGGTACAGAGATGTGGGAAGGTGAAGCCTGGATCCAACAGGAATTGGATCATTGCTGTTTCTTCCAAGTCAGTTAACGATAAAGGTGGGGTTTTCCCACCTTCCGCCTTTTATATTGCAGTTTGTAGCACAGTACTTCCAATAGCAAAAGGATTGGAGGCATTTAGGAATTTTCAGTCTTCTGTATGTATTGCAGATGTGGGTTGTGGTTGTTTTATTTGCCCTCTTGATTGACTTGTATCAATTTTAAAGAAATGGAAAGATTTAGATTTAGGTAGCCACTGATACTGGGTGTCAAATCAAAATCATTACTAATGGACCGGAAAGATTTCAAAAGTTTTCATTCAGCATTTTGGTGATTTAATTTTTGACACTGGTCCAGTCAGCCAAGGACACTGAAGCAGAAATCTCTGACATGATTTTTAGAGTATATTCTGTTAATGAATATTTACGTTGCTAATTTTTGGGTATGATATCATTACAATAAACAATCAAATACGTACATGCTTTTGAGTAAATATTAACAAAACTGGAACTAACATTGGATTGCTGTGAGGTAGGATGAGCATATCTTCCCCTGTACTAAATCCACTGCTGTCAAGTTGATTACGACTTATAGCGATCCTACAGAACAGAGTAGAACTGCCCCATAGAGTTTCCAAGGAGCGGCTGGTGGATTTGAACTGCCGATCTTTTGGTTAGCAGCCTAGCTCTTAACCACTGCACCACCAGGGCTCCTCCACTGTACCAGACATTGTTAAAGTGTATTTCAAAGGATTAAGTCCATTTTTACTCCTAGAACAATGTAAGAGAATTCCTGTTCTTCCATTTCTCTTCAGTGCTTAGTATTGATCTATTTAAAAGTATTTGCCTATTTGATGGGTGTGTAAGGGCATCTCCTAAAACCCCTCTCTCCTGCCCGATGAGTTGATTCTGACTCATATCAATCCTATAGGACAGAGAACTGCTCCATAGGGTTTCCAAAGCTGTAAATCTTTACAGAAGCAGACTGTCATGTCTTTCTCCCACAGAGTAGCTAGTGGGTTTGAACTGCTGACCCTTTGGTTAGCAGCAGAGTGCTTTAACCACTGTGCCACTAGGGCTCCAAGGGTATCTCATTGTTCCTTTAGCGTGAAATGTTGAATGAAAACTTTTAAAATCTTTCGAATCCATTAATAATGACTTTGGTTTGACACCCATATCAGTGGCCAGCTATCTTGGATTATTTGGGAGATTTTGATTCTTTTCACAGGCTTATTGACCATTTGGAAACCCTCGTGGTGTAGTGGTTAAGAGTTCAGCTGCTAACCAAAAGGTCGGCAGTTTGAATCCATCAGGCACTCCTTGGAAACCCTGTAGGGCAGTTCTACTCTGTCCTGTAGGGCTGCTATGAGTCAGAATCGACTCGACGGCAATGGGTTTTTATTGGCCATTTAAGAGATGCCCATAGCCTTTGCCTTTGCCTGGTAAACTTTGTAGAACTAGACTTGTTCTTTCTTTCTTTGTTTTTGGCAGGAATTCTTTATATAGTGTGGATATGATCCTTTGTTAGTGTGGGGAATAAAACAACTTTTAAAAATAGGGATTATCTTTCAATAAGAAATCTAGAAAAATCACTGGTTGTCTTTTCCCCATACTGTGGAAGAAGGAAGTGCTTACAATTCTCCAGTAGGATATAAGATGAAACTTGCAAACAGTTAAAATTTCAGAAAATAGAAATGTTTATTTAAATATTGTCACAGTGTAATAAGTTAGTAAAGGAACCAATGATAAATATACTTTTGATTTTTTTAGAAGAAGGTGAGTTTCTTTCTCGGAAAATACAAACCATCTCTGAGGCAGTGAGATTGCACAGACAGGATTCTAAGAACTCCCTGAGTTTCCACAACCAAATGGAAGATGGAAAACATTCACTTGGTTGAGATTTCTCATTCACACAGAAGGTCCAGGGCAGGAATTCTTTCAGTAGCACCAAGAGAAAAAGGCACAAAAAGATCCAGAAAAGGGCACAGTAGGACAGTCACCTATGGAATGTTGCATCTTCACGATCAGCACCTGCTGTAAGGCTGGACCCTCCTGATGGTCGAGAGATGATGAGCAGGTGATGCAGAAGCTGCCAGGCCAACAGGGAGAACAGCTGGACTACACCACAGATTCCAGGATTTCTTGGAGCAGCTTCTCCCTTTAGAAAGGAAACATGTTTGTGCAAATGGCTGAGGAAATCCTGGCTCAGTTCTCCTTGGCTATCCCATCCCCATCTCTCCCCATCTCAGAGCCTATCCCCACTAAGGGCCATGAACTTCCCTTCTGACTTCCCTCACCCTGTGTCCTGCAGCCTCTACCAGCCTCCTGCCTCCGTTTCTGCATCAACAGAGTCAGCCCAGGCCCTGCTACAGATGGTTAGGGCTGAGGACTAGAGCCAGGGGTGAGTCCATCTGCTCCCTTACTCAAGTCCTGATCTTTCCTTCCGTGGCAGGGCCTGCAGGACCAGGGGAAGCCCTTTCCTAAGAGAGGGGCCTGCATCCTGGGTCTTCAAGCCTGGGTAGATTGGCAGGCAAATATCCTTCTCTCTCAGCCCCTCCTCTCCCTAGTGGTAGCACACATAGCTCTGAGCATGACTGTGCCTGCCTCCACTCTATCCACTCCTTGTACAGCTCTGTACCACCATTCTCCTGAGTCCACCCTATTCAGATGGGTGGGCACTCAGCTGGCTCAGCGATCAGGAGTCTGGCATGAGACTAGATGCCATATGCTTTGTACCAGGGCTGAGCCAGGATTCCCAGGTGTCCACTGAGACCTGTCTTCCTTCTGAACCTGATCCTGGCCCAGGTTCTGCCTTACTTGCTGCAATATACGACATTCTCTGTAGGAATATGTAACTGGACTTGAGTCTATTAGGCTGGGCTTGCGAAGCCCTTTTCAGTCCCCTTTTTCTAGGTTTAATCCCAGGCCCTTCTTTTGCCGATTGATGGATGTAATCCCCTCACTCTTGATTTCATCATGTGGAGCAAACAGGTTGCTGCCTCACCAAATTTTCAGTACTGCCCATGCCTTGTGTTCCTGCTGTCTCCACACCTCCCAGCAGGTGGGCTCCTCCCAAATAGAGACCTTGGTCTGCATCAGGCCTGATTTCGCTAAGCCCCGTTAGTAGCAACAGCTCTGAGGCCTTGGTCTGGGCCTTTCCCCTGTCCCACTGACCTTTAACAGTAAGGATTCATCGAAACTCAGGGCTGACCAAGCCCAAGTCTTTGCTATCAAGTGATAAGCGGTCATATTTACTATGTGTCATATGTATGATGAGAAGGTTCAGTGGCTGGGGCAGGGGTAACACTCTAGGATTCACCTACCCCAAGGGTTCACACGAGGCTCCCTGCCCTGTGCTGCCCTCTCAATTCTGCCCACAGTACCTGTCACTCTAAAGGCCTTGGGTGCCAAGTAGGATTGAGCAGCTAAAGATCAGCAGGACCATCCAAGGGCTTGGCGTGATGGCTGTGTTGGCTTGGGCTGTGGTTGCTGCCATGGTGACTGGTGCTGAAACGGAAACAGAAGAATGAAAGTCCTTGGCCAGACACACATTTTCTAATCCTTTACTATGTGGCAGCCTCTATCACAGGTCCTGGTGTTGAAGATGGATATGAGACGGGTCTGTCCTCAGGAAGCTCAGACACCTAGTGGGGGAGGCAAAAGCTTACAATACAACAAAGCACTCTGGCTCAACCTAAAGAGGAGGCGATGGATAAAGATGCAGTGAAGGCTTCTCAGGAGCTGACATACGAGGTGGTTGTGAAGGGTTTCCAGAAATACACCCAGTGAAATGAAAAGTGATTCTAGGAAGAGGGAACAAGAAGAAGAAAAGATCTGGAAACATAATGACGCCCATATGTTTGAGGCCAGCAAGAAATCCACTGTGAAGGGACCCCAGGGGCCTACATGACGAACAGATATCAGGAGGTGAGAAGGGAAAGGGAGGTTGGGGTGAAAATCTCTATGTCCACTATTCTCCCAGGAAGAACTCATTGAGGATTGGATCTGTTTCTCAAACACACACACCCACACCCACACAAACACACACAGAAAAGGAAGCTACCGTTTCCTTTTCTACTTCCCACTTACCTGTTGGCTCTAGCATTTTCTCCCACTCAGCCAAAAACCTCTCAAGCCATCTATGGCAATCTCCTTGTGAGGTGGTCAAGAAGAACATCTTCAAAGTCTCGTTCTTCTCCCACGTCTCTCTCATCAGTCTAGATCCAGGATGCCCTTCGCTCCACTTCATGTTCTCCGAGTCGAAGAGGAGGAATACATATCCGTCAAAGCCGAACTGCCAGAATGCTCGGGTGCGTTTACCATCTTTATGCTGGCAACACATTTTGGCCTGCAGGGTGAGAGGAGCTGCCCCCCCCCATGGAGAGAGATCACGCTGTAGTCCTAACCAAACTTTTGCCCACATCCAGTTCCTTTGTTTCCCTCTCACGTCCTGACCCTGTTCTATCCTCCAAGTCCTGCCCTTGCTGAATGCCCTCTTCACTGGACCAACTTTCCATGGTGTGTTCCCCCCGCCCCACAAACTCCATAATGGCCCCACACTCCTTCTACATCTGTTTTTCTTCTGCCTTCACCAAGCTGACCATCAAGCAGGGGGCCTTCTCAAACTTACCCCTGATTTTATAATTCTCCAGTTTAATATCAAGCAGAAGCTCTTTGAACAACTTTGCCGCATCTCTCAGAGTTTCGGTCTGATCTCTCCACTCGTCTGTACCATTGACTTTAGTTCCCAGGGGACCCAAGGTTATAACATTGTTGCTGCCATAGTCATAGTAAAGAAAAGTCCTTCCATCCACTTGGCCTTGTATCTCTATATACCGTTGCTGTCTGGATGAGAAGTTGTAGCAAAGGGAGTGTGCATCTACAAGAGAAAATCTCAGATGAGGGTTGGGGTGGGGAGAAGAGGACCCACTAGACGCCCTCCCCCAATATATGTGACATCAAGAGCATCTCTCTGCAGGGCTGGGCTGGCAGAGAGAGGAATTCTCCTTCCTGCCACTCACCCTGCACCACCAACTCCTGAATTCTTCCTCAGCCCTGTCTTCCCTGTGACTCACTGAGGTTCTGTGAGAAATGCCACAGGGTTAAACCCTGATGCCACCTTCTTTGCTGTGATGGAAGATTTGTGAAAACAAACCACAGTATTTGTTCTCTGGGAGAAGACACTCCCGTAGAACAGAATGGAAACAGACATTACGTTATAAGGAAAATGACAATGACAGAGGCCCCCAGGATGGGCTTCATGCTGAAGAGCCTGGGCCTTGGCAGCAGAGGGGCCCCTGTGTGTCTGCACCTGCTGGGCCCATCACCCAGGAGTATCTCTGGGACTGAAGTCAAGGGGGAGCTGAAGAGAGGACCCCATTAGACATGCGTGAGGGAGGAATTCCTAAAACAAGGTTTCCAAACTACCTCAGGGACTTAGGAGAACAGTCAGCTGGAAAGGATTCATACAGGGATTGGGGAGACTCAAGATCAGAGATTCTCAGAGAATCTTGGCCCTGGAAAAACATATACCTCACATGTTATGGATTGAATTGTGTCCTCCAAAAATATGTGTTGTAAATCCTAACCTCTATTCCTGTGGTTATAATCCCATTTGGCAATGCGTAGTCTTTGTTATGTTAATGAGGCAGGATTAGTGTATAGTGTGCTATGAGTCAATCTCAGGAGACATAAAAGAAACTAAACAAACAAGCAAGGTAGCAAGCAGAGATGGGGGAAGAGAGATGCCAAGCTGCATGAAGATCACCTAAGAGCAGAAGTTCAAAGGGATGAGGACCTTCCTCCAGAGCTGACAGAGAGAGAAAGCCTTCCTCTAGAGCCAGCACCTTGAATTTGGACTTCTAGCCTCCTAAACTGTAAGAAAATAAATTTGTTTGGTAAAGCCATCCACTTGTGCTATTCCTATTATAGCAGCACTAGATAACTAAGACACCATGTGAGCACCCAATGTAGTCTCTCTCTCTCTCTCTCTCTCTCACACACACACACACACACACACACACACACACACACACACACACACACACACACACACACACACACACACACACCCCTGAAACCAAGAGGGACTCACACCAAAAATAAACAAGAAAAGCTTGGAGAACATAGGTACAAAACCACACAAGAGGACACCCTCGCCCTTCCCTGAACTAAGGTACACTGTTCCCCTCCAGTGAGGATTCCAAATGGCACAGATGAACTGGACTCAGGGAGAGAACAAAAGACATCATTACTGCACAAAAGACCAAGGCAAAGAAAATGCGTAAAGCCGTTAATGGTAATGACTTTGGGCAAGTCCCTCAAGTTTTTGAAAAGAATAGTGAATGAATGCAATAATACACACACATTAACCATGACCACAAACACAAACTGGGCACATACTTCACGTGAGTATAGCGGACAGAGCGTCGTTTGATAAATGTAGGACTTGAAGTCTGAAGACCTGATATGTGGGGCTGGGGCAGGTGTCTTAACCTCATAGTGTCCTGAGCTAGACCATGGAAAACAACAGATCCTACTTCACATATTTTTATTTTGTTTTTGAGAAGCTTAACTGAGAAACTTGTAGTGAAATTATTTGTAAAAGGCATATTTAAAGAAACCTTTGACTTTAGTGGTCCATATGGTTTAGATGGGAAGTCAGAATTGGGGAAGCAGCATTTCCGATGGGTCTTGGACCTGAGGTGTTGGAAACCCGGCTCTGGTCCTGCTCACAGGGCCTTCTCTGAGTTCACAGACCCACACAGTGGTCACTGTATACTCCCCGGATATGTAACTGGAATGGAAGGTCTTCCTAGTCAGTGAGTTATCTGACTGATTCCTCCCAACCCCAATAGTATTTTACAATGATAGATGAGTATCACCCCGAAAACCCTACAGGTTGCAGAAGCTGGTCCCATCCTATCCCCACTGAATCCCCAGCCTGGGCCCTAGAAGAGAGGTTGGGAAACGTCTGTAAAAGGCTGATGAGACGCATGGGATTTGGGTGGAATGGGTGGTAGAAGGTGTGCAATAGGCGGTGGACACTGAATGAGGGAAGG